AATTGCCCGATGAAGCTGGATGTAATTACCAGCGAAACGTCATACTCAAATTTTAAATGTTGATTCACTCTTCAACACACCGGTATGGGGCTAAAGTAGTGAACTATTTGTCCTTTGTAAACGTGACACATTTTTTTTACTGTTTGGCCGTGTCGGGTGGTGGAGGGTTACGACACATTTATAAATAACGCGATCTAACCCAAAAAACCTTTATTATGAATATTTTGTAACGTCACCACAATGGACTTGCAGTGTGTGAAGAGGATTCAGGGTTTCCACTTAAACCAGTGGTTCTTAACCTTAACTGCAGCCTTGCACCCCATTGTTTCTCAAACGTTAAAATGTTTAATAATAAATAAAGAGGGTTTTACAAAACAAAGTTGCTGTATTTACATGCCCGTGCTTAAATTTTGCGTTTCTAAAAAAATATTTGTTACGTCTCGCACCCCCAGAAATGGCATCTCGCACCACAGGTTAAGAACCACTGATATTCTTGGTTCTTTCGGTAAAGTCACGTAGAAGGGAAACAACAAAATAATAAAAATATAAAACAACAAAATTCTCACGACGTTTCGATTGCAACACAAGCAATCATCATCAGGTGTGAAAACCACCTGATGATGATTGCATGTGTTGAAAACCACCTGATGATGATTGCTTGTGTTGCAGTCGAAACGTCGTGAGAATTTTGTTGTTTTATATTTTTATTATTTTGTTGTTTCCCTTCTACGTGACTTTACCGAAAGAACCAAGAATATGAATCCCTGCAGTCACGAAAGCTTTACACAAAAAAAGAACCACTGACTTAAGGCAAGAAACTGATTTGTGTGGAAAAATAGGACAAAATAATATCTCGAGGGCCTCTCTAGGGCACTCTCCAGCAGAGGCTCTTCCACCAGTGGTGGCGTGAGCCATACCTTTCTGAGCTGCACCTTTACCTTTATAAAGTGATTGTGTAAAAGGCACACGAACGTAAGCATAGCAGTCACGAACGTAAGGATAGCAGTAGTATGACTAACCAACAGTGTGTTCATGGGGGTATTGTTAATGTAGCAGTCGTGGCTTAAATAGTAAAACTGCTTGCAAATTCATGAGCTATACATTTTTTATTATCATGATGGTCCTTTCTGTGTACACTGTGAGTTTTGGCTTCAAGGTAAATAATTAGTGGGCAGATGGGGGTTAAATAGTGATGACGAAAACACTGCTTATAAAGGTATGCCTTTTAAATCCAATGTAAAGGAGACCAACATTTCTGCTGGGGCAGGGTCATCCCAGGTTATCTTTTAACAAAAATATAAAAACCAGAGATACATATATCTATGCAATAGTAAGACAACCAAAGTTACAGGTCCCTGTGATAGGTTTTGACCGAGATAAGGCCTTAAAAAAATTGGACCCATGACCTCAATAATACAATTCGCAACTAGTTGCCATTTTTAAATGACCATTCATAAGCTTGTCCTATAAATTATATTTTCTAAAAATAAATGCGTTAAAAATGGTCATGTGGAAAAATGGCTAAAATGTACCTATCTTCTTGTTTAGTGACATGCGAGTGACCGATATGGATTTGCATTCATTAGTGTTTAAATGCTGAAGCATCTCAGAATGAGTGAATAAACATTTCCACGTTTTTTTGGCTTAAGTAGCTATAATATGGTATTAATAAACTGTAAAAGTTGCAAAGGGGTTACACAACTCCATTGTCTGTGCAAGTCAAGATATTTATTTTATTACACCCTCGAGTGAGCTGAACCTACTTTGTAAATTTCACATGGATTATGAGTTATTAGTGACGAACTTGTGGTGTATAAAACGCATTGATCTTCAATTTACGTGCGTGATAAACTGGCTGTATAATAACCTACACACTTCATTAACGTGAGGGGCAAACATAAATGATAGGATTTACAAGAATTTGTAATGATCAACTGGTCCTCTTGAATAAATACCTAATTAACATACAGAGGAAAGGTATTCCTCACTGTACCCAAGTTCTTTTGGTGTATTTGTCAATTCTAGGCATGCACAGTAACTATTGTATAAATGTATTTGGTTCCCGTGTGGTTAAGATGAACACAAGTTAACGTTTCAAGAAACAAAGAACATGCATTTAAGCATATATTAAGAAGCAGTTGGGTAGCCCCTCCTAGACTTTGACAGTTACTTAAAACATATTAGAGATAAATTTTGATTTAAAGCTTTCGTGACTGCAAGGATTCATATTCTTGGTTCTTTCGGTAAAGTCACGTAGAAGGGAAACAATAAAATAATAAAAATAAGAACCAAGAATATATATTAGAGATACATTGGGAGAAAAGTAGTTATTTCTTGACTTAAAGCTTTCGTGACTGCAGGAATTCATATTATTTGGGTCTTTCGGTAATTGTCACGTAGATAGGTTCAAAGAAAAGAACAAAAAATTACGTTTCTATCACAATACAAGTAGTCGTCATCAGGAGGAGAAAAGAGAATGCTGCTGAAGCAGCCTGTTTTAAAGGTTTAAAATGGGTGTAGCCCAAGGGTCATAAAACCCTCCGCCACCCGACATCGTCAAAACAATATCTGACTGTCACATGGGCAAAAGTGTGCAATATTACGATTACCACATGAATCATAATACTGGCTCCAAAAATGCACGTATTAAAAAATCTAATCAGAATAATCATTAACAGCCCTTTGTCAATCCACTGCTGGATGAAAACCTCCCCACGCCGTGTCACTAATGGCCTGATGTTTTAACCATAGTTTGTAAAAGAATATTCGTAAAATAATGTAGCCATGCTCCTTTTTTTGCTTTTCCCCTATTCTGTAGCGTGTGAAGCGAGTATGGATACTTGCTGTTTGGTAGTACACTCCTCCAACAAATACACTTTGGTGGTACTAAATTTCGATTTGAAGCTTTCATGACTGCAAGGATTCATCTTCTTTGGTTCTTTCGGTAAAGTCACGTAGAATGAGAATAAAATAATAAATTGATAAAATAAAATAACACAATATAAAACTATGGCAGTAATATTCTCCGGGCTGATTAACTAGCTATGACACCGTGCTTAGCATCTGCGTGTACAAGTATGAGACGCCCGGGCTGCGCACACCTTTAGTGTAGTCACCGTGTCACCCACATTATGTATACATTTGCTGTGTTTTCACAAACTATTCCTATTTCTATTCTTAGTTCTTTCGGTAAAGTCACGTTTAAGGGAAACAACAAAATAATAAAATATATTAAAAACAATAAAAATTCTCACGACGTTTCGACCATAACACAAACGGTCGTCTTCAGGTGTGTCGGTTTTGCATAAATGTATTTATTTTTAAACGGTGCATTTATTTATTTATAAAAAACGTTAGCGCCACGCGCAGCGATTTGGCAGTTTATTTAGACGGACTAGTCCATCTATGTTCTGAAAAGAGGAGGGGGAAGACGATTTTTTTTTATGTATGCTGTCTGAAAGCCACTGTAAGCGTGAACAATCAATTAAGACCTGAAATGGTTTATCAAATCTTTCCAATGATTGCTAAGCCAGAATCCATTTTCTCGGTTGAAATTGTCTCTGTGCTTGTATATGTGGATAGCCTCATGAACGAATCTCTCATGGTAGCCAGATGGCTTACAAAGAACCTCTGTCTTGGAAAAGTCAATGGCATGTGAGCCTACTGAATTAGAACAATGATCTGCCACGGCCGAGGTGTTGGTCCTACCGTGTTTAAGGTCTGCTTTGTGTTCACGAATGCGGTCCGAGACATGGCGTTTGATTTCTCCAATGTAACTACTACCACAGAGGCAACTTAGTTTGTAGACACCAGGGTATTGTATGTCCGGAATCACATCTTTTACAGACGGAACCAGATCACGGATTTTATGTAATGTGTTGAAACGGACCTGGATCTTGTGTTTATTCAAGATTTTGGAGATATTTTTTGTGATCCCCGCAATGTAGGGTAAAGTGATGGTTTTGAAAGGCTCCTCAAGAGGGTCCTTCTTCATGGTTTGGGTGATAGCTTTGCGGATTGTATAGTATACCGAAAGAACTAAGTGATGGTTTTGAAAGGCTCCTCAAGAGGGTCCTTCTTCATGGTTTGAGTGATAGCTTTGCGGATTGTATAGTATACCGAAAGAACTAAGAATATGAATTACTGCAGTCACGAAAGCTTTAAATCAAAATTTATTCCTATTTCATCACTCAATCGATCCTCCTGCAGTGTCCCCCCCAACGTGCGGACACTCCACACACCCACTCGTAAATTAGTCATGCACAGATGTGATAGTTGAGGTTCGATATTTTGTTTCATGGTTTTATCACGACCCTGAATTTTAACAACTCATTTAATTGCTGAGGAGGTGAATCGCTGCATGCCTATCAAGTGTATTTACAATCCAGGGCGTCTTCTGCCAGCCGTGACATATGCAAGCAATCGCAGGGCTGATTTTGTACACATTTATGTACTTCAATTAAATGAGCCCTTTGTAAATTCATTACTGGATAACGATGGCCTCTTCACATCACTGGGGTCACTGGAATTATTTGACCATTCCTCACCACTTGGAGAGGCGTAAATTTGTGAAAGTGGGGGAGCATAGGCATGAGAGCACAGAATTATGCCAGAGTCTTCAAAGAATTGTCTGTAAATCACAGTGACTTCATGATAAATTGAAATACCCAACAACCTGGTTTTCGTTTAATACAGGCCTATTCCATTTGTGCACTCGGCCATTTTAGTGGGCGGGCAATTTCCAGTCTGATGAACAACAACACACACAGAGCAAGTTACCACCTGCACGATAAAACCGCACAACCCACCGCATCAACACGCGTGGACAAAAGCAGCCCGTGGGGGGAAAAAAAGACCGCATCAACGTTTGCCGACGTCGTCAGTCCAAAAAAAAGAACGACAACAGCAGCAATGACAGCTTCACGACTTCAAGATGTTGAGGACGGGGTATGGCTTGAGGGTTGGGTTGAGAGTTACGGTCGCTGGTGGGGCAGCCTGACCTTGCGCACGATCTGGATGAAGTCTTTAGCCGGGAGCTTGCTGAGCCCACGGAGCTGTCGAGTGCAGGCGTCGAGGGACGAGGCGTGGCCCACCATGAGCACTCGCGATAAGCCTGCTGGCGCCGCCGCACAGAACACAACAGCGCTCATCGTCACTCAGTTTGTTGTCCTACCCCTGCACCTCCGACAAAAAAGCACGGTTGGCTACATATGGTGCAAAAGAAGTTCAACATACATACATACATATAAACCGCACCTCCGATAAGCACGGTTGGCTACGTGCGGTGCGAAAGAAGTTCAACATGCATATACTCGCACCGATAAGGCACAATCCCTAACCCCCCCCACCCCAACATCATCTCTCTAAGTACACGACCCCCAGTAAACACGTCAGAAAAAAACACACAATCCTCACAATTTATGTCGCTATTTGCCGACTGATGTGTTTGCCGACTGACATGGTTGTTGTATAATGCACGCACCACGAAATAAACATCAGCGTCGTTATGGAGAAAACAAATACGGAGAGAGAGGCGTCTTCGTCCGCCCATTAACTTTGTTGCCAATGTTCTCCGCGGTGAAGCAAAAAGGCTATTTTGACCGGACAGTCCCATCCCGTGGTCACCAAAGAGAACGAAAAAACTATTTGTAAACTAATTACACAGCTTTTTTCGGTAAAGTCACGTTGAAGGGAAACAACAAAATAATAAAATATATATAAAACAATAAAAAAATTCTCACGACGTTTCGACCATAACTCAAACGGTCGTCTTCAGGTGTGTTGGTTTGCATAAATGTATTTTTAAACGGCGCATTTATTTATTTATAAAAACGTTAGCGCCATGCGCAACGATTTGGCAGTTTATTTAGGACTAGTCCATCTATATTCTGAAAAGAGGAGGGGGGAGACGAAACTTTTTATAATGTATGCTGTCTGAAAGCCACTGTAAGCGTGAACAATCAATTAAGACCTGAAATGGTTTATCAAATCTTTCCAATGATTGCTAAGATAGAATCCATCTTCTCGGTTGAAATTGTCTCTGTGCTTGTATATGTGGATAGCCTCATGAACGAATCTCTCATGGAAGCCAGATGGCTTACAAAGAACCTCTGTCTTGGAAAAGTCAATGGCATGTGAGCCTACTGAATTAGAACAATGATCTGCCACGGCCGAGGTGTTGGTCCTACCGTGTTTAAGGTCTGCTTTGTGTTCACGAATGCGGTCCGAGACATGGCGTTTGGTTTCTCCAATGTAACTACTACCACAGAGGCAACTTAGTTTGTAGACACCAGGGTATTGTATGTCCGGAATCACATCTTTTACAGACGGAACCAGATCACGGATTTTATGTAATGTGTTGAAACGGACCTGGATCTTGTGTTTATTCAAGATTTTGGAGATATTTTTTGTGATCCCCGCAATGTAGGGTAAAGTGATGGTTTTGAAAGGCTCCTCAAGAGGGTTCTTCTTCATGGTTTGAGTGATAGCTTTGCGGATTGTATAGTCGGAGTAACCATTAGCCCTAAGAGCTTGGTGTATGTGCTTGAGTTCACTGCTTATGTGTTCCTGGTCGGATATGCATTGGGCTCTATGATACAGAGTCTTGATGAGAGAATTCTTCTGTGATGGATGATGGTGGGAATCCGGTTTCAGATAAGCATCCGTATGGGTAGCTTTCCTGTAGACAGAGTGGCTCATTGAACCATCAGGTCTCTTTTTAATTAGGACATCCAAAAAAGGTATCTTGCCATCTATTTCGACTTCCATGGTAAATCTGATGGCTGGGTGTATGGAATTGATGTGGTCGAAGAATTGGTCTAGAGCAGGCCGGCCATGTGGCCAGATGACAAAAGTGTCATCCACGTACCTCTTCCATAAGGTTGGGCGCAGAGTGGCAGTCTGGATGGCGTCAGTCTCAAATTTCTCCATGAAAATGTTAGCTATAACTGGAGAAAGGGGGGAGCCCATTGGGGTGCCCTCAGTTTGTTTGTAGAAAGTTCCATTCCAAGTGAAGTATGTATTGGTTAAACAGTGTCTCACCAGGGGGGGTACCTCAGTGTTTAGTCCTTGATGAACCAAGTCTTCAATGATTGCAATGGTGTCAGGTACAAGAACCTTGGTGAATAAGGAAACTACATCAAAACTGACAAGCAAGTCGTCTGGGGACAGGGAAATACCCTTGATTGTCGATACCAGGTGAGTAGAATTTTGTACCGCAGAGGTGGTCTTTCCAGTGAAAGGACGCAGGATTTCAGACAAAAAACGAGCTAGTTTGTAGGTGGGGGAGCCGATAGTAGAGACTATGGGACGAAGGGGTGTATCTACTTTATGTATTTTTGGTAAGCCGTATAATCTTGGTGGCCTGGCAGCAGAAGGTTTCAACAAAAACTGTTTAGATTGATCAATTAATGCGGTTGAATCAGAAATTATTTTGTTGGTTTGTGTGACGAGGCTGTTGGTGGGATCTCTTTTTATTTTTGTATAACTACCATCGTCGAGTAATTCTTTAATTTTGTTGTTGTATTCTATTTTATCCATGATGACAGTAGCATTGCCTTTGTCAGCTGAGAGAACTACAATATCATTCCTTTTTTTAATTTATATAATTCAAAACGCTCATCTTTGCTGAGGTTGCTAGCTGGCATCTTAGCGTTTTTGAGGGTTGCAGCGATTTCAGATCTTGCTACGTCTGCAGCGATGTGACCCAGGCCCCTGAGAGCAACGTCTACTTGGGCAATTATATCATTAACTGGTATGTGTTTAGGTGTGACTGCAAAGTTTAGACCTTTAGCGCCGTTTAAAAATAAATGTATGCAAACCAACACACCTGAAGACGACCGTTTGAGTTATGGTCGAAACGTCGTGAGAATTTTTTTATTGTTTTTTATATATTTTATTATTTTGTTGTTTCCCTTCAACGTGACTTTACCGAAAAAAAACTAAGAATATGAATTACTGCAGTCACGAAAGCTTTAAATCAAAATTTAATTACACAGCCCTCCGTCGAATCCTTGAAGGCCTCCCAACGGGCACGTCGATCGCAAGCATTGCTTGACCGTGTACCAGATGGGTCAGTGCAAGTTGATGGAAAGGGGGCACACGGAAGACTGGTCTGAATATCACTCACCGGTGATGTTATAGACACGATCTCGAATATAAAACTCGGGATACTGGGTTCAAGATGCAGTGCGCTAAGAACTACGCGACCACTCCCCTAATGTTTATGGAATTAATGATATTAAATATCACACAAGGTATATTTTTACATATACCACAACCGTAAAACTAATGACAATGCGGCTTAGGTGAATGCTCGTATAGATTACCCTCAGAAGAGCGCTCAAAGGTCCAGCCCTGCTGAACAATTCCAAAAATCTGACCCCGAGCATCCGCTGGGGCGCGCAAATGCTAAACCCTAAAGCACACCCAAAAGAATCCAATTGCGTTGGCATTGCACAGCGTGCCGCAGCTGTGCCCATACCAGCTCTGCGACATTTTTTTTGGCTTTACCGCGCGATGTTCGGCACAATCCCATCCCCGCAGCAGCTTATGGACGAATCAAGAAAATCGAGGGACCGAAGAAGCTCCTGGCATTTGCAGCGAAACGTCTGACAGTAACAACCTAACAACACATTGGAAAGCTATAACAGCATCGTGTTCTTACAAAACGTGCGACCAAGTCTACAGAATATTCTCTATGCGGTCAAGTCAATGGGGCCGACCATAACACACATGAGAACATAATTCGGTTTTTCCCCTTTTTTCTGGCAACAAAAGTTAAACCTTTTTTACAAGGATTCATGTATGCATTAACCACAATACCTGCAGTCAAAATGCAAACAAAAAACAGATTATGATAATATATGCATTGTCCTTGAAACTGATTGGTCCACACCAAGGGACGGCTTTCTTTTGAGCCTCAACCCAATTGGTGCTCGACCAGATGACGCCAAAAGGCATATATTATCATAGTATGTTTTTTGTTTGCATTTTGACTGCAGGTATTGTGGTTAATGCAGACATGAATCCTTGTAAAAAGGTTTAAGTTTAATTGGCAAAAAAAAGGGGAAAAACTCTATTATTATATTTTGGTACTGGCAAAAGAGGTCTAATGATGTAAACATGAGAACGTTAATGTTTATTTCAAGCGGTCGGTGTAGTGTTATTGTGAACTAGGTGACCAGCCCCGTTCATAATAGACAAGTCTCGGGCGTCCAGCGATGCATCACAATTATGATGTCAAAAGCCATGGGCCACACACTCCCTACTTGCACACGCATGCCTCCCTACTTGGACATGCATGCCGCATTATATCTGTGCAAATCAGCGGTTTGGAAGGCCGAGTTGGTGGACTAGATTTGTCGAAGAATCTTCGGCATGTTTGAGCGCCACCGATTTCACCGATCCCGTCACAAAGCGCTGCACAGGGTGGGGTGGGGGCGGTCGTGACATCACCGTCGCTTTATTGGCAATCGTCGGCTTCCGCCGTTGGCGTTGTTGAACTTCTTTCGCACCTTGCGTAGCCAACCGCGTTAAATCGGAGGTGCGGGGGCAAGGCCAACAAACTTAACACCAAAAGCATTTCTAAAAGAAACGAGTTGTCAATTTAGATGATGATTTAAAAGTGCACAGCTCCCAGTGGCTTCCTAATAACGGAAGCAAGAGCGTTCCAGACGGCCGCAGGAGCGCATCCCGACGGAGCTTCTCTCCACCTGCAGCCATGCCACTGTTGTGTTCGCCTTCAACCGCCGTGTGTATGGAGGTCTCGCCGGTGGCGACAGCGGGGGGACTCTCACCCTTCTGCTTGCAATCGGCCAGGATCTCCCTGCACACGTGGAAGCTCCGTGTGACGTACACGTCGTACGATTCGCTCGGGTTCAACTGCGCCACCGGAATCAGGGGCCTGGAGACGGACCCAGCACGCACACAACAAGAGACAACAACAAAAACAAACCCCAGCGCTATTGTGGATCCGCAAGAGGGCAGAGGACAGCGGAAGAGGGCGGAGAAGGAAGAACAACAAAGGGGGAGCCACTTGAAGGCCGTAGATCGTCGTGCAACAGTGGCACGACTGCAGATGGAGAGAAGCGCTCTTGACCGTGTGGCCAGAGGTCTGATGGTACATTCTGTTTTGCAATAACGCCGTGTGTTGTTTTCACAATGCTAATTGGATATAATGCGATGAATGTATGAGGGGAACACGTTTTTTTTTTAATAACGCTGGATGCGAATTTGGATATAACGCAATCGAGCGAACGGAACTACGTCGCGCGAGTAGGAACGAGTGGTCGTACGGCTGCTTCGGCTTAGCGCCATCACACAAGGCGGGATGCTGCTGGATGCGTCTAGATGCTACCCATGCACCTCAGACTTTGCTCGGCCTGCGTATACATCTCACGCGTTATCGTGGACTTTTATTTACCCTATATTATTTCTTTTAATGCGGTGTTCTTCAGAAACGCTACTACCCTCTTATTGGAGAACAGACTGTTTTAATAATGATGATGACTTTGATTTACCCAGGAAAGCCTCACTTGATTCTCAATACCCCTTTTTCAGAAGGCTCTTGCATTGGGATGTCTGGCTAATTTTCCATTAATTGAGTGTTTGGCATGTCGGGAGGAAGCGGAAGCACTATAATAATCACACAAATATTAGGATAATTTATCGGCCTTTGTCAATTCACTGATAAAATGAAGGCCTCCCTACACAATTTTGGTCATTTGGGTTGGTTGATCGTACATCATCACTCTGGATAGAGCAGGACCACTCCCACCTCCGATTAGCACCGTTGGCTACGTACGGTGCGAAAGAAGTTCAACGCTAGCCATGGTTGGAAATCAAACTCAGGTCGCCATCTCACTACCACCACTCCACCTCAGAATGTTGAACTATACTCAGAAACGCCCCCATTCCCTTCGTATAAGAGGGGGGATGAAGTAAAGCTCTACACAGATTAATGCAACTGCTGTACTGTCATTTCCTGGTCACCTTTATAAGGCAGTCTCCTCCCCATTCAAACACCACCCAGACTCATCCCTGCTAAGCTTCCACAATTCATTAGATCCGGTGCATTGAGGGCAATTTGGATCATATTCGAGAGTTATTCGCGAGTAGTAGATTAACAACATCACACTATAAGGGGAGGTAGGTGTGTGTGGGGGTTGGGGGCGGTAGCGTCGTGCTAACCGCACTGCGCTATGAAACCAGCAACACGAGTTTGATTCCCGCTCAAGGCCAACATCAGCGACATATATCCAAATTGGTCCCGAGACTTCCCTAGGCCGACCCAGCCTGAATGTATTACCTGGCATAAAGTGTAAACATCAGCATTGGGGAGACAAAGGCAGCAACGAGTGGTGCTTTGCACCCCCTCAGACGACATGTGGGCCTTCGTAGGTGCTCGTCAACAGTACTTTCCTCCAGTCTGTTTAAAGCTTCACGGGGAATCTCCTTCGCAACAGTCTGTGAAGGCTACACGAGGAATCTCCTCCACGCGTGTTCGTGTTTGGGTGGGGAACGGTGGTGTAGCGCTTAGCGCTACGCTGCGCTATGAACCCGGCTACCCGGGTTCGATTCCCACTCACGGCCAACACCGGTGACGATTATCTGAACCGGTCCTGGGCCTCCCCTAGGTCGACTCAGCCTCAAATGAATACCTGGTGCGGTGTGTAAACATCGCCACTGGGAAGACAAAGGCGGTCGGGCGTGGTGTTGGCCACCCACCCCCTCGTGTACCGTTCCAGCCTTCACAGGTGCTACTCGTTAACAGCACTTGCCCCAAAAGTCTGCTAAGGCTATACGGGACCTTTATCTTTGTGTTTGGGTGACGTCGCACCTGTAGGTGGTATCTATGTGGATTCCAGCTGCCGTGAACTCTTGGTTTGACATCCAGGATGGCAGACAGTTCCCAGGTGTCCACTTGGTCCACTCAAACAACCCTGGCTCGATCTTAATCCTAAGCCGGCCCTCGATCTGCAGACCTGAAATGTAACGAAGGGCAAACTCACTCGATTTCCGATAAACGAGTTACAAAAAATAACTCTGGGTCGCTCAAATAAAAATGCATCCGCGCAAGTTAAAATCAACTCCAGTACGTTGTTGAGTTAACGTCACAAATTTCAAGAAAAATAAATTCATTGTTACTCTTCCAACAATTGCCACTGGCGCCGTGTACAGCTACAGCCGTCTCAACCTCTCTGGCTTCTCTCTGTATGCTGGCAAGCGAGAGCCATTGGCCTTCTTTCATATGGCTGCTGATGTAGATGCAGAGCAACAACCGCAATATCACAATCAGGTGGTCAAGCCAGATAACCGCGTTAGGAGTCCGCGGAGTGTTAAACCCGTCACCACCCGACACAGCCAATTAGCAAGATGTGTCGGGTGGTGGCGGGTTTAACGACACATTGATATTTACCAAAAAAAACTCAATTACGGATAACATCGATCACGAAAGCCGACGTGTTAAACTGACTCGAAATGAGCGTCGCCTCAACCCCTCACGCTCACGTCGCCGACAGCGTCATCCTTGTTATCCGCCGCCTCTCAGCCTTTGCCTCCGCCCACCCACCCATCCACTGCTACCCTGTTAAACCGCTTCGATTGACGTCGTTTCGACATTTCATCGCCGCCGCACCTTTCGGGGGGAGGGGGGGAGGGGTTATGGTACGAGTGGCGACGCAAAAAAACGGGCGACGCCCGCTCACCTTTAAGGAGATGCTGCGCCGTCTGAACGCAGCGGAGGGAAGGGGAGCAGTAGACCACGTCCACCGCCGCAGCAACATCAAAGAGCGCTTCACCTGCCGTCGTACGCGACAGCGGGGATGCATTATTTAAAGCTAAAAATTCCTTTAGCACGTGGGTGTGAGCTCTCATATCTATGGAGCTTTTTCGATTTTTCATCATTTCTTGCCAGCATTTTGGATGCTGGCAAAAAGAAGGCTGTCTCTAGTGAGGACCAATCAGTTTCAAAGACAATGCATATTACTGTCAGGGCATGTTTTCGTTTGCATGTTCACCACAAGTATATGTGGTTAATGCAGACATGATTCCTTGCAAAAGGTTCCTGTTTGGTGTTTTAATATCTTAACGCCTGTTTTTTTGCCAGAAAGGTTAAAACCTATTCTCAGAAATCTTATGATGTCATCGCGAAGAGCTTACAAGCAGCGCGGTCACGATTGCGTCGAGTCGAGCGTGGCTGTCGTTAGAGAAGCATGATGATGATATCATCGGCGGTCGTCATGTCGTTGCAGCGATGCTCACCTGTGAGCCGGGCCTGGGTGACCCCCAGGACGGTGAGCGGGGGGTCATTCTCGAACTGGCGATGCCCTCCGCTCCGTTGCGGCAGACTGGCCGGCATGTTCATGTTCGATCGAAAGTACACTCCTAGAATCGCGGATCAAGGCGTTTAAATTGATTAGTCGTGAGTCGATCATTTGTTACATTTTAAATGTTGACTCGGTGCTCTGTAATGCGCGGAACTCGTAGCCGGAGGGTGGTCGGGGTCAGGCTCTGGTGTCAGAGCAATGAGGCGAGATCGCCAAGCACCTGGGTTCAAATCCACGTCTCAGTCGTTATTAAAATTATTTCCTAAGCGTAGCTGGTTGACAGTCTCAACCCGGTCACAAATGTCTGCAAAATAATGTTTCTTGATTTAAATTGTTTTGGTTACTCCAGCTTGAAGAATGCTGGAATGTACGGTTTTGATTGGCATGTTGCAAACACAATTTGAAGCCCACATAAAACGTGTGTCCCTTAGCGTGGCTAGAGGCCTGTTTGAAGTGACTTAAGTAGTAGTTTTGTGAAGTCATCATGGAAGTAGTGTACAGCAATACATATTGCTGCAATGCCCTCTGCGGCCGAGAACAAACACGCTGTGACAAGAATCCAAATTATGTTGCGTCGATCGCACGCCCGCACGTCCGCACGGAGGGACACAAAGCAGAGAGCTGCCGTTGTTGCCGTGGGTCATCGAATTTGTCCGTGGGAGTTTTTCTCTCACGCGGGACTTTACCCCGCTCGTCGAAGCACTGCGCCACCCACTGCCGTCCGAACACCACGTCCATGCGCTCGCCGTGTCGCAGCACAAACAGACTCCGGCGGGCCAGCTCCGTGCCGGAACGCGCGCCCCCACGCAGGGACCGCTGTGTTTGTGCCGCGCCGCCGCCGCCGCCACCGCCGACACAGCCACAGGGAACAGCACGATGGCACAGTTACCACATCACAACGGCAGAAAAACGGCCACGAGCGTGGACGGGGACACGGGTAGAATCACTACCGCGTGGGCGCAAATCGCTCACCGTGGGCAGAGTCACGAATATGATCACTGCCACGGACACAATCGCTCCTGTGAATGCAATCACTTCCACAACCACAGGTGCTATGGCCACAATCCCTGTCACAGACACAATTAGTTCTGGAAAGACACTACCACCATCGTTTCAGGCAATGGGGCCTTCTTCATAGCATGTAGATCGACGTTGGAAATGAGGCTGGTGTCAACCAAAGCAACGCTTGCAACTGTGACTTGCAACCCTGCTTTGACAGACTGTGCATCTGCAAGTGTAATGTAGACCTTCGTATAATGTTGTAACTATTGCTGCTATACGTTTCTCTCCGCGATATTCAACCGTTGTTTGTTGTTGGAGTTTATGTACGACTTGTTGATTTATCTGGCCATGTAACTTTCTTATGTAATGTTCCACCATTGCCAGCCCCCAGCTTGGGCTGGACATAAGTGCCTGCTGCAAGAGAAATAAATATTCCGATTCTGACAAGTGGAAAAAAAAACCCAGAGACCTTAGCAGTTCAACTAGTTCCTCCAGCTTGAACGGAATGTCTACGCGGGATAACAAACACCGAGTCTACTGGTAAGTGCAGCGAATACCTGAGCAAGCTGCACACGCCAGTAACTTTAGCCATGGCCAGATGTCATCTCAATCGCCAACAGGTATGTGACAGGTAACAACGTGTCACGGTTATCAACCTCCCCGCATGCCTGATTAAAGATAAGGTTGAAATGGTACACAAAGTTGGGTTTTATGATCGTATCACACCAGCTTTTGTCTACACTGTCCCTACAGGGATGACCCGAGTAAGATACACTCTAAAACCTTTGAAGAAGTTGGAACACAAGCCTACATCTGTCATCATGTTATAAAAAATAGCAATGCCTTATATAATTGGTTCTTTCGGTAAAGTCACGTAGAAGGGAAATAATAAAGTAATACAAATAAAACAATAAAATTCTCACGACGTTTCGATTGCAACACAAGCAATCATCATCGGCAATGCCTTAGTCTGTCCTTCTGTCATAATATGGTGATTTTGCTGATGCTTCAAAGTGTTCTCACCAGCGTTAACACTTTCCCCTGTAACCATAATCTGTGTGATACAGTAACGAACGCACATCCATTATAGTCAAATCTAAATGCACGTGAGTGCACCGTCACTGAACGTGTGTGTGTGCATGCCTTTTAGACATTTGTTATATTTTTTATTCGTACTGTCATTACACTTGTTTACCTGGAAAAGCCTGAGTCTCATGACTCTTTACCAAGAGGGTCGTGCCAAGTTTTCATTGTGGGATGTGGAAGGGAAATAATTGTTCTGCATGTACCCAATCGAGCAAATTTGCAGGGGTCGTTGACCATTTCATATTTTGCCGGCGCGCAACTCTTTACATCCGATACACCCGCCGGAATCGACCGGGGTGGCCTGCCGGATTCGAGCCTCTAAACCCCCCGCCCCATCACCAGCTCACAACGTTTCCAAGAGTAATTCGCGCCGACATCTGAATATAGGCTATGGTATGTGTGCGTGTATTTTTTACTTCTTTCGCTCCATGCGTAGCCAACCGTGCTAATCGGAGGTGCGCGGGAAGGACAACAAACTATGGGTCTCTGTGTGAGTCTGTGTATGTATGTTGAACTTATAAGAATAGGCTTTACCCTTTCTGGCAATAAAACAGCTGTGTTAAGATGTTAAAACACGACACAGAACACTTTTGCAAGGAATCATGTCTGCATTAAGCACATGTACATGCAAACAAAAAAACATTCTCTGGTAGTATATACATTGTCTTTGCAATTGATTGGTCCACACCAGAGACAGCTTTATTTAGAGCCTAGTCTCAAACAGTGTTAGACCAGAGGACGCCGAAAGGCAAACAGCACAAGGACTATGCCACTATCAGGACATTCAGAGCTCGGGGTGAGCAGCTACATCATGGGACCTCCAGAAAGAGAAACACACCCCGTCTTATATTTTGATACTGGCAAGGGAGGTCCCAGTCCCATTATATGTTCAACTTCTATTACACCGTACGTAGCCAACTGTGCTAATCGGAGGTGCGGGGGAATTACAACGATACAGCCCATGGCACTGGCAAGCAAAAGCAAGCAAAAAAAATACATTTGAGGAATGTGAAATACAGGTGAAGAAAACATTGGGTCATCACAGATTTGCCGAGGACAATCACAATGGCAAACTGATACAAATATGCTGCTGGAAATGGCAGTCAAGGGAGGGAACCTGTGAAGTGACATCCACCACAGACGTGGGGCAATGAAATCAGCTCGTGTGCAGAGAGCTAGAGGGCCGCAACACGCTGACAACCGGCAATGGATATATCACTGCTAACGTTAAGAATGTACTTCGATGAAAAGCTTTGTGATGACTTTCCAAGACAGGTGCTGTGTAACTCCGACACCGCCATTATCCTTACTGTTGCTGCTAGTGCCACCGATGCGCATCTACGCCCTTCTCCTTGGCGTCTATCTCTTCTGTTGAGTGCCTGGGCTGCTTTATTAGCTTTATTTTGGATGATTCTGAAAACGTTTTGGCTAAGCCATGTTCGTTGTAGTACAGAGTTAGCCTGATAACTTTAATCTACATTGTCTTATGGTTGTTATTGTTTAACTTGCATCCCACTGGGATTTTTGCACACAGCCGTTGGAAATGCGTTTTTTTTCCAGGATTTTTCTATTGCGTGTAGTCACTTTAAGATGTTTTCTTGCTCATGTTTTGTTTCGTTGCGGTTGCACACGAGTCAAGAGCCGCATGGCTCACAGGGTTATATCGAATAAATGAAACTGAAAAACTGTGTGGAGTTGCTGCTGTGCATCATCCATTGCTGCTGCTGTTTTTCTGTGCTGCAGCTGCTGCAGCTGCAGCTGCAGCATCAGTTGCTCCTGCAGCCGCTTCCCGCAGCTGGCGGTGCGCCGCGCTTGCCTGGCTGTTCGTCGCGGAGGCCGGTCCGTTGACGGCGAGGAGCGCGGAGGAGGAAGCGGACGACGATTCTCCGTTGCCGTGGGCCGCGTGTCTCAGGAGCAGCTCGCGGGGCACCGACGTCGCGGCGGCGGCGGCGGCGGCCTCCGTGGTCAGCACGGGGCACGACAGCGCGTAGGACCTGCCAAGCCAGGTTTGGGGCAGGTTAGCGAGGCACAAGGGTCAGAGGTCAACAAATTACTCAATAGGAGTCTACGTTAGCAATCACCGCCACCTGCGAAAAAAAAAACACTTGGTAGGACCATGGCGAAGAAGAGTCATAAGAGACTCGGTTAGGCTTTCCTTCGCTTAAACAAGCACAATAATGTATAAAAAAAACAGGCCTATTGTGGGGCAGCCAGTGAGGACATTCGCAGAGCTTTTCCGATAATACGTTAATATCAGGGTTGGAGCAGAGGAGCAGTGATTATCACACATGGTGGCATGCAAGCCAGCAGGCAACCTGAGTGCAATTCCCAGCCCCGACTGACATCGCCAGTGGGTGGCGAGTTATATAATGGGCCTCTCCCTTCACCAACCCACGCCGACCAGCCGGGTGAAGTATGGCCAATCAACTCCCCGTAGACTGACAGCGGCAAAGCGGGAAGGGCTTCATTCAACTCAAGATGGTCAAAGAGGTTGGGACACAATGTGCAGTTAAAAAAATGTGTTGGTGCAAAGGCAGTAGAGAAACGTGCACGTCCGGACAAAGCACGTGGTTCAGCGCCATGAGAGAGTGTGCGCAACCAACTCGAAGGGCAGACGATGTTATCTTCGGGCACAGCTTTTTGCAATCGGCAAAATAATAATCTATACACATCCTTTGGCCAGCCGTGGGCTAGGAATTTAAAGGTGTAGTGCGTGTGTGCTAAACCACTGCCCTCCCTGCCCCGCCCGCACCCGCACCCCAGCAGCTACAGAAAAATGTACATAATAAAAATATCGCATTACCTGCCTTTCCTGTAATATTTTAATTACATTCGTTGTGTTTTTCAGTAGCTGCGTGGGATGCGATGGTTTTAGCATGCACGCGCATGGCAATGCCAACGTTGGTTGCGAGCGACGTCTGAACAGGTTTGGGTCGTGCACCACCCCGCACACGCCTCCCCCCCTCCCTTCTTCACCACCTCGCGCGCTGTGACTGGCGTGGTGAAGTACGGCCACACAACCCCTCAAGGCCGACGTGACATTGAGAGGACGATTCATCGTCCAACAGAGGATTTGGCAAAAGGGCTTGAAACTAAAGCTAAGGAAAAAATAATAACTGCATTAACATGTTTTATTGCTGTGTACGTGTTTAACCGGCGGATTAAAGAACTGTAGCTTGCTGTAAGTTTCCCCGAGTCACAACATGCCCATGTGTAGGATTCTTAAGTCAGTGGATCATTTAAGAAAAATAATTTTAAAAGGTTAGTGGATTTTTAAGGCTTCGATAGGCAAAACTAAAGAAACTTATTGAAAGATCCTAAGCGGAGCAGCAGAAACGTGCCAAGCCACTCTGCTCGTCTCCCATGTTCAAAAATTAAATTAACCCGACTCTGGCTTCTGAAACGGGAATAATTAAAGAACGTTCTTGCACACGTAGACGTGCAGCAATCGATCACACGATTATTTTGCAAGCGCAGTGAAAATAGTATGATGTAGGTTCCACGACGTTTTTTTTTTTAATAAACTCGACGCATTCATATACAGTGAGGGAAAAAAGTATTTGATCCCCTGCTGATTTTGCACGTTTGCCCACTGACAAAGAAATGATCAGTATGTAATTTTATTGTTAGGTTTATTTGAACAGTGAGAGACAGAATAACAACAACAAAATTCAGAAAAACGGATGTCAAAAATGCTATGAATTGATTTGCATTTTAATGAGGGAAATAAGTATTTGACCCCCCTGCAAAACATGAGTTAGTACTTGGTGGCAAAACCCTTGTTGGCAATCACAGAGGTCAGACGTTTCTTGTAGTTGGCCACCAGGTTAGCACACTTCTCAGGAGGGATTTTGTCCCACTCCTCTTTGCAGATCTTCTCCAAGTCATTAATGTTTCGAGGCTGATGTTTGGCAACTCGAACCTTCAGTTCCCTCCACAGATTTTCTATGGGATTAAGGTCTGGAGACTGGCTAGGCCACTCCAGGACCTTAATGTGCTTCTTCTTGAGCCACTCCTTTGTTGCCTTGGCCGTGTGTTTTGGGTCATTGTCATGCTGGAATACCCATCCACGACCCATTTTCAATGCCCTGGCTGAGGGAAGGAGGTTCTCACCCAAGATTTGACGGTACATGGCCCCGTCCATCGTCCCTTTGATGCGGTGAAGTTGTCCTGTCCCCTTAGCAGAAAAACACCCCCAAAGCATGTTTCCACCTCCATGTTTGACGGTGGGGATGGTGTTCTTGGGGTCATAGGTAGCATTCCTCCTCCTCCAAACACAGCGAGATGAGTTGATGCTAAAGAGCTCCATTTTGGTCTCATCTGACCACAACACTTTCACCCAGTTGTCCTCTGAATCATTCAGATGTTCATTGGCAAACTTCAGACGGGCATGTATATGTTCTTTCTTGAGCAGGGGGGCCTTGCGGGCGCTGCAGGATTTCAGTCCTTCACGTGGTAGTGTGTTACCAATTGTTTTCATGGTGACTATGGTCCCAGCTGCCTTGAGATCTTTGACAAGATCCTCCCGTGTAGTTCTCGGCTAATTCCTCACCGTTCTCATGATCATTGCACCTCCATGAGGTGAGATCTTGCATGGAGCCCCAGGCCGAGGGAGATTGACAGTTCTTTTGTGTTTCTTCCATTTGCGAATAATCGCACCAACTGTTGTCACCTTCTCACCAAGCTGCTTGGCAATGATCTTGTAGCCCATTCCAGCCTTGTGTAGGTCTATAATCTTGTCCCTGACATCCTTGGAGAGCTCTTTGGTCTTGGCCATGGTGGAGAGTTTGGAATCTGATTTATTGATTGATTGCTTCTGTGGACAGGTGTCTTTTATACAGGTAACAAGCTGAGATTAGGAGCACTCCCTTTAAGAGTGTGCTCCTAATCTCAGCTCGTTACCTGTATAAAAGACACCTGGGAGCCAGAAATCTCTGATTGAGAGGGGGTCAAATACTTATTTCCCTCATTAAAATGCAAATCAATTCATAACATTTTTGACATGCGTTTTTCTGGATTTTTGTTGTTATTCTGTCTCTCACTGTTTAAATAAACCTACCATTAAAATTATAGACTGAACATTTCTTTGTCAGTGGGCAAACGTACAAAATCAGCAGGAGATCAAATACTTTTTTCCCTCACTGTAAGCTCCATCGTTGCAACATAGACATACAAACGCACGCAGGCAAACACACTGGATACCTGTCTGTGCCTTCGCGCTGTGCAGGATTGTGCGTGCACGTGTGTGGTGAGCAGACGTGGGGAGCGGTAGCGTAGTGCTAGGCGCGCTGCGCTTCGAACTTGGTGACTCAAGTTCGATTTCTGCTCACGGCCAACACCAGTGACGATTATCTGAACTGGTCCTGGGCCTCCCCTAGGTCGACTCAGCCTCACATGAGTACCTGGTGTGGTGTGTAAACATCGCCGCTGGGGAGACAAAGGCGGCCGGGCGTGGTCTTGGCCACCCACCGTCTTCGTGTGCCGTGTCGGCCGTCACAGGTGCTACTCGCTAACAGCACTTGCCCCAACAGTCTGTTAAGGCTATACAGGAGATCTTTATCTTTTTTTCGTGAGCAGACGTGAAACAATCGGACTCCCCCGCGAGTTGACGCTCCGAAACGGACGCATGACATCAACCACAGCCATGTTTGCAACTTTAATTTGGCAACCGTTAATCCGGCAAGTGCGACTTAATCCTAAGTCTCTACGATGTTTTGCTACAGCTGATATTTTTTTTTCTCCCGTGTCGTTCTGTTGCATTGTTCGAGGTTACGCGCGATAGTTTAATTTATCTACCGGTGCCTCTGTAATGTTCCGCCATTGCCGGACACCTGCGAGAAAGAGCTTCATAGCTTATCGGGTGGGGGGGGGGGGGTGTTCCGGCTGAAATCAATTGTCTTGTGTCTATGAATTGTTGTGATTCAGGCTTAAAACTCGTTTAAGGAATCGATTATCGTTAGAGCACTCTCGCGAAATTCCACGCTTTTCCCCGGTGGTTGCGAGGGTCAGCCACGGCCGAGCCACTGCCGGATGAAGGCTCGCAGACCCTTGGTCGCAGGGGCCACGTGAACCAGTCGTACACCACAAATGCAAATCCAACATCATTTGGTCTTCTACTTGCAATCCGATGAGCCTGGGAATCGATTTTAGTCGATGAATCCATGCATCGCCAAACGCCTGATGGTCACCAAAGTTGCTTTCATCGGAAATTACAGTTTCCGCATCTCAAGGTTCTCTTGTCTCTTGAGCACTGTGGTCAAACTAGTTGTGGTCAAACTGGAAAGCCTCAAAAGAGCCAAAGAATCTGCAGGTGGGGGTCGAAGAGACAGCGGGGGGGGGGGGGGGTGGGGGGGGGGGGGTGGGGGGGGGGGAAAGGTGTTTATCATCCAGCACGTTGGCCAAGATCCCACGAACTGCTGCCAAACAACTCTGTGTTCCCCACGACCATTTGATGGTGGGCTGGCCCGTATCGTGTAATGGGCAAGTGGGGCCTGGCCCCTTCAGATTGCCACTGCAGCCTCTACCTGGCCAAAAACAAATGGTAATCAGGGGGTGGGGGGGGGGGGGGGAGGGAGCCTCGGTCCACTTAGGCTAGGCCGCACGACCCACTTTGTCAAGCGGGCAACCTGCTCTTAGCCAGGTCACTCAGTGGGCCCACTTTTATTGTCACCGTGCAAACGTAGCATGGGATGTTTTTGTTCTTCTCATTGCAGTGCAAGGCTTGTAGAGGACTTGTGAATTTTGTTTGGAACATTTGTAAATTAGTCGTCTGTGAGCCCTTTATGCAAAATTTGAGTGTGCGGCACACATCGACTGCGTATTGACGAGTCGCATATGTCCAGCGGCACGCAAGATGTTGGGTTTCCGCAGCTTTGTGTCAAAGGCAATAGCCATATTTTCATTCGTACATACAGTCTGTGCGTACCAAATGATGCAATAGCCCACACTGAAAGCCAGTCTGTGGATAATTCATGTTTGATGGCAACGAATCTTTGACAGCCTCTTCAAGGCACGGGATTTCTCAGGGTACCACATTCATGTCCCAGTAGCCCAAATGTCCAGACGAAGGCATCTTCAGCATATTTAATATTTTAGCAATAATCCCTGCAGCGCAAAAAAAGAGCCAAATAACAATGGTGGCCGGCTGCTTAGTCGTGAACGCGCCACAGGTGTTTGTGAAAATGCACGCGACGCCACCACTAACAAAAAAAAGACCAAGCGTGTTTTACGTGTGCACGTGTCACTGCAAACACATCATGTGAAGCACATTGTAGACGCAACTTGAAAATCAAACGTAGCCCCTGACACGGCCACAAGGTTCTACGAGTTCATATGCCGGAAGTAAGGCGCGTTTTGATGGCTAAACACTGTTGTTGCTGTGTTCCCACGGCAGCACGTACAGCGAGGGGAAAAAAGTATTTGATCCCCTGCTGATTTTGTACGTTTGCCCACTGACAAAGAAATTATCAGTTTATAATTTTAATGGTAGGTTTATTTGAACAGTGAGAGACAGAATAATAACAAAAAAATGCAGAAAAACGCATGTCAAAAATGCTAAAAATTGATTTGCATTTTAAAGAGGGAAAAAAGCATTTGTCCCCCTCTCAATCAGAAAGATTTCTGGCTCCCAGGTGTCTTTTATACAGGTAACGAGCTGAGATTAGGAGCACACTCTTAAAGGGAGTGCTCCTAATCTCAGCTTGTTACCTGTATAAAAGACACCTGTCCACAGAAGCAATCAATCAATTAGATTCCAAACTCTCCACCATGGCCAAGACCAAAGAGCTCTCCAAGGATGTCAGGGACAAGATTGTAGACCTACAGAAGACTGGAATGGGCTATAAGACCATTGCCAAGCAGCTTGGTGAGAAGGTGACAACAGTTGGTGCGATTATTCGCAAATGGAAGAAACACAAAAGAACTGTCAATCTCCCTCAGCCTGGGGCTCCATGCAAGATCTCACCTCGTGGAGTTGCAATGATCATGAGAACGGTGAAGAATCAGCCCAGAACTACACGGGAGTATCCTGTCAATGATCTCAAGGCAGCTGGGACCATAGTCACCAAGAAAACAATTGGTAACACACTACGCCGTCAAGGACTGAAATCCTACAGCGCCCGCAAAGTCCCCCTGCTCAAGAAAGCACATATACATGCCCGTCTGAAGTTTGCCAATGAACATCTGAATGATTCAGAGGACAACTGGGTGAAAGTGTTGTGGTCAGATGAGACAAAAATGGAGCTCTTTGGCATCAACTCAACTCGCCGTGTTTGGAGGAGGAGGAATACTGCCTATGACCCCAAGAACACCATCCCCACCGTCAAACATGGAGGTGAAAACATTATGCTTTGGGGGTGTTTTTCTGCTAAGGGGACAGGACAACTTCACCGCATTAAAGGGACGATGGACGGGGCCATGTACCGTCAAATCTTGAGAACCTCCTTCCCTCAGCCAGGGCATTAAATATGGGTCGTGGATGGGTATTCCAGCATGGCAATGACCCAAAACACACAGCCAAGGCAACAAAGGAGTGGCTCAAGAAGAAGCACATTAAGGTCCTGGAGTGGCCTAGTCAGTCTCCAGACCTTAATCCCATAGAAAATCTGTGGAGGGAGCTGAAGGTTCGAGTTGTCAAACGTCAGCCTCGAAACCTTAATGACTTGGAGAAGATCTGCAAAGAGGAGTGGGACAAAATCCCTCCTGAGGTGTGTGCAAACCTGGTGGCCAACTACAAGAAACGTCTGACCTCTGTGATTGCCAACAAGGGTTTTACCACCAAGTACTAAGTCATGTTTTGCAGAGAGGTCAAATACTTATTTCCCTCATTAAAATGCAAATCAATTTATAACATTTTTGACATGCGTTTTTCTGGATTTTGTTGTTGTTATTCTGTCTCTCACTGTTCAAATAAACCTACCATTAAGATTATAGACTGATCATTTCTTTGTCAGTGGGCAAACGTACAAAATCAGCAGGGGATCAAATAATTTTTTCCCTCACTGTAATAGCCCGGAACTTTCCGGCAACCTTGCCAAGAGTGCCACCAGCTTTTACCCAGGCTCCCCTCAGACCAAACTCACGACTTCATGGGGGTCAAGAGTATTTGGCTGCTGCTGTACATTTTCCGCACGATAAGCCACTCACTTCGTCGAGCTATCATTCGTGGCCGGGTCGCTTTTAAGACAAAGAGCTCTGTAGCTCATACGGGCCTTACCTGGTAAAAAAAAAAAGTACATCGTTTAGTTTTAGAACCTATTCTTAGCGGAACGTGCGAGTCTTGGCGGCGGCAGGGTGCCACTGAGAATGAACGCAGGACGAGGGGAGCGGCTCTCTCCGTATCAAGGGGGGCGTGAAGGCGACGATTTTTCGGCGCAGCGCTCTCGAAGCGCTCCGACGCCGTCCCGTCACGGCGCTCTCGCTCACCTGTGCAGCACCCAGGTGTCCGACTCGTCCGCTTTCTGCGTGTAGTTTTCCGGCAGCAGCCCGGCCAGGCCCGAGATCCACGACGTCCCCTGCACCCAGCCCTCGCTGCCACCCTGCAAACACGGAGCCATCAGAATCCGATGAGCTATGAAGCTTTTTTTTTTTTACAAGATGTCCAGTACGGGCGGGGCAGCAAGTTACAACAGCAAACGGTACAAAAACACGACAGGAAGTGAAAAATAGAGAAGCTGGCAAGCAAGTCACCGAGTAAAAATAAATTCGTTGTTTAAGTCCTGGCAAGGCAACAAAAAGAACAACAAACAAAAACAGACCCAGACCGCACCAAGCTCTGCCGGGTAGCTCGGACTCGGGAGGGCTAATGCCATGCCGAAAGCATGGGCTGGTTATGGAAAGATCTTGCGCTCCGATTCTGGATGGCCAACCATAATTTAACTGCATCCCCCAAACTGTCGCGAGGGTTCATTCTCAAATCGGGTCACAAAAAAAACGCACGCGAATTTGTGCGGTCATATTAAATTAGTTTGGTTTTTCACACTTAAATTATAGCAGGTGTGAAAAGAACAGATTTGGTTTTACCGGCACATAACGAACACCCCTATCACGGCACATAGACGGTGTGCCCTTCGTGTCGATAAAGCGGCGCTTTTGAAGGGATTTAAGGAGCAGCTGTGATAACAACTTTGAAGGCTTCCCCGTGCCATGCCATCCATGGGGATTGTTTGACAATACTTCACCACGCTGGCCAGCGTGGGTAGGGTAAAGTGAGGCCTAGGACCGGTTCCGGACATCATTTGTTACCGACGTCAACCTTAGCTGGTGCGCGAACTCGGGTTGTCCGGTTAAAAATGCAGCGCGCTAACCACTACATTACCGCTTCCGCCACCTGACAATAAATACCCGTCCAAACTTGGGATTAACGGAGTGGCACCTAAAACGGTTGGCTGACGATGAGCAGCAGGCCTAATTGTAGATTACAATGACAACGTGCGAGTTGAAATGTATCTGCAATTGACTCTGTCCAGTGGAGTTTTGAGGGGGGGGGGGGGTATTGCATTTTATCTCAGGATGTACAATATGCAAGCTTTTTTTTACACTCTAAGAGTTGCCATTTTTTAATCTATTCGGTTTGCCTTCACACAACGGAATGAGAGCCTAACAAAAGGTAACCTGTTTGTGCTTCAGTCAGACAGTTGGATGTTGGTGTGTGTACCAGCCACACCTAAGGACCGTACACATTTTCAAAGACAATGATGGTTCACGAGGAAATGGGTACCACATACCGCAAAAGAAAACCGAAAGCTAACAAAGGCCATCTGAGATATGAACCTCCGCAAGTGTTGTCAAACCGCCACCTATAGCAAAACACAGTACAGGAAAGGCCTTCATCCAGCAGTGGATTTTACAAAGGGCTGTAAAAAAACGTCAAATAAAAGTAACGCTGGAAGCGTCCCATTTAAAATCGGCCATTGTGTTGGGGTCGGGATCGAACCCACGACCATCTGTATACCAGGCAAGGTAGTTAACATCTCGCTACCATGTCGCCCAATCAGTCATTGCGATGGGAGTGCTTCGCCGTGGCTGGCTGCGTTCTCCTCTTCAAAAAAAACCCCCCATATAAACCTGGAGCCTTGTCCAGCCATAGGGCAACAGAAGCAATCGTGGGTTTGGCTAAACCACGTCCATCCGAGCACGAAGAATGTGAGGCGAGGGATTCTCAGCTGAATCACTCTCCGACTGTGACTCAAGAGCATTTTCCTGTTCATGGAACCGCCTTGCCGTGGATTTTTTGACGTCACCCATAGCTCATAATCACCAATACCTGTGGTCTGTGGTTTCTGTCACGAAGAAAGCATCTATACTCAGCCCTGCGTTATCATAAACATTCCTGTAGAATGACTATCAGGTTTATATTGACCAAACACAATAAAAACACAACACGCCGTGGGGCATCAGAGTCGTGTCGCGCACGCACGTGCGTGTGTGCATACATGCCGTCGCGTTCACCTGTGCACCGTGCTCCGAAGGCGACACAAATATGGAATCTCCCGGTATTAGCTCCAGCTCGTCGTCGTTCTGAGGGATGTACGGGTAAAGCACCCGCAGGGTCTGCGGCGGAGGAAGCGTTGGCAAGGCGACGGGGGGGGGGGGGCGGTTTACAACGTTGCAGGGGGTCATCGAAGATGGAAGGGTTAGGGAGGTATAAGGGGAAAAATAGGTCAGGGGTTCAGAGGGAGAGGGCGCAGATACACGTTTGCATCAATGCACCGTATTTACGACGACCTTCGGTGAGATTAAATGGGGCTCACGAACAGACGCCTCCTCGTAAAGGACCCGACAAGCACGCAGAACTTCCGCCAAGCTTCGAGGGCCCACAACCCCTAAATCGCATCCCCACACACACATACCGTGGCAGCAGATGCAGGTACTTGACGATGATGAGATGATGATGCACAAATGAAAAATTAAAACGGCTCTGGTGTGCGAGGAGGTGCGGGGGAAGGACAACGAACTAAACACAAAAAAAGCAGTTAGAAAGAAATTCGCTTCCAATCTCGATTTGCAAGTACACAGCTCCCAATGGCTTCCTAAAAACAGAAAGAAGAGCGTTCCAGACAGCCGCAGAAGCCCACCTGAACGCGTGCGCGATGCGGTGACCACCTTTTTTCGATGATTAGCCAAAGACCGCAGCGAGGATGACCGGAGTTCGCATGATGGTTCAATGCTCCTTGACGAGAAAATACATATCTGTTGCATGGGACCTGGCGAGCCCATGGCCTATGGACACCTCAACCAGTGGCGATTAAATCGTCTGTCGTTATTAAAGCGTTCATATTTAATTGTAAAAAAAATGTTATCAACTGATATTAAGCTATATTCTTGGGTCTTTCGGTAAAGTCGCGTAGATATACAAATAATCACAACATCACGGCGTTTCTATCGCAACACAAGCAATCGTCATCAGGTGAGAGCTGCTGAAGCAGCAAAAAATAGGTTCAAAGAAAATAACAAAAAGCTGTTACGTTTTGACTGGTTTAGGTGTTAATTACGTGTCAATCTAAATCTAAAAGCAGTGTTACGTCACTATTTATTTGAATTGCAACGATTGTTATAAAAAAAATGTAGGATATTGTATTTTTCACGATTTCCGATCGTGAAGGCGCTACGTTTCGCAGTCAGCGGTTTTAGTAGGAGGCGCAATTTAATCCGCAGTGCCGTTTTTATTTATTCAAACGTGATGTCACAGGATCACAGGATCCTTAAAAATTCACCGTGCAGCAGAAGGCGTGTGGCATGCGGTCAGAAATGTCGTTTTTTTTAAGAAGCGACCTGGCCACAAACGATAGTTCAACGGAGTGGCTTATCATGTGGAAATTTATAGCAGCCAAATACTTGGAATGCATATTTCTAAATATTGAGGGAAAAACCGAAGGACCCGGAGAAAAATCCACGCAACCATTGGGAGAGAGACATGCAAACCCCAAATATATAGATCGAACCCATGACCTCCTGTATACCAGGTGTGCTGCCCTTCTGCAGTCCGTAAATGCCGTATTGTTTTGCAAAACCCCAAGATGATCAGTTTTACATTTAATAATAATGAACTTAACACAAATGTCATAACATCCATATGTCATGGAACGTTTTTTTTTTTTCGCGGAAACAAAAGCATTGTACAAGCAGGGGCGGATGCCAGGATTTCAGGCCGGGGTGACATTCAACAAATGTTAATTTCAAGAATGATTAAGAGAGTCAGGCTGTTGAACTAGACGCCATCGGTTGGCGACACACTCTGACAATGCAGTTGCACGGAGTCCGCCAGACCGAGTGTCGTACACTTACACGCAGAATGTCACCCCTGTCACCCCCCCTGGCTCCGCCCCCGTGTACAAGCATGGCAATATTACGAAAGCCTTCACTATATTTGCGAATGTATGTGACACAATCATGTCTGGTGGCTCGTTGTTGTGAGTCAGCACCACATTTGAAGGTAACCGATGCATGGAAGGGATGGGATGATTTAGGGCGGCGCTTCTTAACCTTTACTGCAGCCTTGCACCGTCTTTGCTTCTCAATCGTTAAAACATGCAGAATGGTAATACATACAAGAATATAAGTAGTTGTACTTAGTGCTTAGCTTGTGTTTCCATGATGTACCTTCGACAAAAAGATGTGGCCATGGTCTCACACCCCCAGAAAGGGCCTCTCGCACCCCCGGGGGTGCGTGATGCACCCCAGCTTAAGAACCACTGCTCTGCGGCCTTTGCCCCCTCTCCCAGGAGTGGATCACTGCCCTGTGGGACTTTAATCCGATAAGCACATTATCGAGAGTTGTTTAATTTTCAGTGTTTTGTTTCATGCTTCCCCACCCCCATTCCCCTTCGCACCCCCCCCCCCCTCCTTTTCCCCCCTCACTCCCCACCCGCGTGGATTTTTCTCCGGGTCCTTCGGTTTTTCCCTCCACATTTAGAATCAAGATCATGCGTTTAGAGTATTTGGCTACTGCTATGAATTTCCACAGGATGATGATGATGATGATCAGCCACTTTGTTGAGCTATCACTTTTGATGGACAGCTCACTTCTGATAAAGAGCCCCGTGGCTCAGAGGGCCTTACCTGGAAAAATAAAAAATAAACAGTTTAAGCTTAAATTTTGATTTAAAGCTTTCGTGACTGCAGGGATTCATATTCTTGGTTCTTTCAGTAAAGTCACGTAGAAGGGAAACAATAAAAATATAAAACGTCGTGAGAATTTTATTGCTTTATATATTTATTATTTAATTGTTTCTCTTCTACGTGACTTTACCGAAAGAACCAAGAATAGATATAGTTTAAGTTTAGTTCTTTCCCAGCCCCCTCTCTACCCCCCGCTATGTGAGTTACCTTTGCCCTCATCACCCCCCTTCCCCATGAGTTTGTTTTATGTTCCCGCTCGCGGTCCCCATTTGGGTGGGGCGGCAAGCCCGAATTTCATCCCACCTCGTGAGGCCCTGGCGAGGACGACCTCTCGGGGTTTTCGCTAGCGGAGTTTCTGTCCCCGCCCCCCGCACCCCCACCCCCTTTGAACTGTGACCGGTGGCTTTGTACCGGGCTAGCGTTGAGTCACGATACAAAAAAAACTACGTTAAAAAAGGTTATTTCATGCATGAGGAATGTCAGGCCGCATATTTACCAAAGCGGTTATGCAATCTGACCTACTGGAGATTGGCCGCAGCCTGCCGTGTGATTGTTACATCCGTTATTCAACAGCAGCATGAAACGTTCTAAAATGTACACACTCCGCCGTGTGTCTAATATCAAAGGGTTTAAATATACATGTACCAGTCTTTTCCATTCGTACATTTGTGTTTGTTTACATACAGTGAGGGAAAAAAGTAATCGATCCCCTGCTGATTTTGTGGCGAAGACGCAACTTAAGACGAATGACGCAAAATGAATCATTACTGTGAACGTTAGTCGTCTCATTATTACTGCGTTACAATCCTAGCCACCCTTGTTCATCCGTTACCAAGCCGACGATAATAAAATACTTCCCGAGCACGAGTTTTTAACCCTTTCCAATTACACGTTACTTGTTCGCGCGATCACTAACCCGCCAATAATAAACCTCCAGTTAACAACTGTTCTGCAAACGACGACAACCAAGTGCACACTGGGAGACCCGTGGTGCCGCCCACCTTTTCCGCTCGACTGACGTACTTCGTACGTGCCCAACGCCCCACCCTGTGACGGCAGCTCCATGTCAAGACGACGATGACGAAGAGTCGCCCGAGAACACACTCTATAAACTACATTTTAAATACGCACAAACTGCCCACTGAGCTTCCGGTTATCTCCCAAACGAGACGGTTCTACTGAGGGTATATTTTGGAAAATTTGATTTTGAGCGTTTTAAGACGTGGCATGAAAGCAAGGTTGCCACCGCGGGGGTGCAAATAAAAGCAGGACATATCATCGGAAGGAGAATATCTCACAATGAAATGTGCATCATTACACAAATGACCAAAACGGGGGGGGGGGGGGGGGGGGTGTTTTTGGTGTCACGGGAAGACCCACAGATGATCCTGGGGAAATCAGTACTGGTGGCAAGCCCGACAGGAAACCAAGGATGCCTTAAGAACACCCACACATGCGAGAATAAAGCACCACTATCATCGACATCAGCCACGATCCACCCACTGTTTAATGAAGGCCTCCACATGTTACCACCATCGCGATGCAGCAATCGGCATCAACTCCTATGCATGGTCCAGTTTCAATGTTCCCATCTCCGCGGTGAGTTACGCCTTTTGGGGCGCCCGTTCTCACCACGGGGTTGCTATTCCACGAATGGTCCCCGTCCATGGGTCATCGCTTCTGCTTCTGACGTGTCCCTGTTCAAGTCACTCACCTTTCCGCATTTGTCAGCACTGCGAGTTCTCCTATAGCGCGGTAAGTCGCGTTCCTGAAGAACACCGCATTATCATAAATAATATATAACATAGGGGTAAAGCGCAGTCCGCGATAACACGTGAGTTGCGTACGCAGGCTGAATAAAGTCTGAGGCGCGTGGGTAGCATCTAGAAGCATCCAGCAGCATCCCGCCTTGTGTGACGCTACGCCGAGGCAGCCGTACAAGCGCTTGTTCCTACTCGTGCGACCTAGAGCCGTTCGCTCGATCGCGTTATGTCCAATTCACATCCGCGTTATCAAAAATGTGTTTCCTAACACATTCATCACGTTATATATGCAACTCGCGTTGTGAAAACACATGCAGCATTACAGGAGAACAGACTGTCCGTCTCCCATTTGAATTTGTTCCCCAAATTACAGCGCTACTCTTCCCCGTCTCTCTCATTGTGCACATTCGAAGTGAGAATCTCTGCATACTTTCCCAGTGAAGTTTTCGGCTTTTTACTTCTTTGGTTCTTTCGGTAAAGTCACGTAGAATGAGAACAAAATAATAAATTGATAAAATAAAGTAACACAATAAAATTCTCACTGTGAGAATTTTATTGTGTTATAATTCTCACAGTGAGAATTTTATTGTGTTATTTTATTTTATCAATTTATTATTTTATTCTCATTCTACGTGACTTTACCGAAAGAACCAAAGAAGATGAATCCTTGCAGTCACGAAAGCTTTAAATCTAAATTTTTGGCTTTTGTTTGTTTTTTATTTTAGGCGCATCTCATCGCTGTCACGGTTGGCTGCATGCACCGACCCAAACCTCTTATCTTAAAAGGAATTAAGATAACCAAGGCAATTTACAAAGAATTAACAACGGTATGTATCAATGTGACGGTGGAGGTGATGCTTGAATTCGGTGAAAGCTAAATTTATGACGGTAAACGAAGATTAATGGAATAAATGGGGTTAATGGGTGATAACAATATAATGAGACTATGAAGAGGGAACAGCAGTGGTGGCGCTTATGAGGGGGAGAGATTAAGGGGGGGTCGTGGGGTGAGCTAGGGAACAATGAGTGTGAGTTTTGAGTGAGGTGCGGAAACTAATGAGCAAAGGTGACTGCTTAATGTGGAGGGGGAAGTTTGTTCCAGTGAATAGGGGCGAGGAGAGAGAGAGAGAGAGCGAAAGCAAATTGGTATCAATTTTTTTTTTCACGTGAGAAATTTATCTTTCCAAAAGACCTCTCGCGTCATTATAAACGCCGCTCTCATTCCGATACACCGTTGTTAAATTGCCCAAGGTAAACCGTTGCTTTCTCTCCAGGTCGCATTCCCGCCGCAAAAAATATTTCGTCGCCCGTTTACTTCTACCAAGAATGTCCACCCGGGGTATCTACACGGTCTCTCGCGGCATCGAAAACCCCCACCGGTTTGGGTTTGGGCAAAGGGGATTTCTTGGGCGAGGGCAAAGCCAAAAAGCCAAAAGAAGCCGACGCACCCTGACAACAAAAGCATCCTCGACACGCAATGCGACGAGCGGAGAGAGTAAGAGAGGAGAGGGGCAAGGAGATGACTGTTAACCTTTCACGTGGAGCGAATGCGCACGATCTAACGTGACTCACAGTGATTCATGGCAGTAGGTACACGTTGGCAACAGTCGTCACTTGCGCGAGGTGTAACGAGAGAGGGCCTGACACTTGATTAAAAAATAAAGATATTCAGCCGGATTTTCATTTGGTTAATTGCTTCCTGTCCACGTGGCACGTTAATTAGGCATAGTAACGAGCAAATCATTTTAAATATCGATGTCATTACGCTTTGTTTACTCAGGAAAGTCTCCAGACTCTTTTTTTTTCAGGAGGGTTATGCCAAAGCTTGCGGACAAAATGAGGCGATTTTGTGAAGTGTAATCCAAATTGAATCATTTATAGGTAATCTTTACCGCATTGGGATGCGCTGGTCAACACTTGTTACATTCTGTGTTGTGTTTTTTTTTACTACAATGGGACAAAATCAGACAAATACTTGGGATAAAGATTACAATCACCGACTCGTGAACCAGAATTATGGCAATTGAGGAATGATCAGAAAAATATAAATAAATAAATTTCATATCACGTGGAAATGTGTTGCCGAGAAAGTATATATGTTGTACGTATGTACGTTGAACTTCTTTCGCACGGTACCTAGGCAACGGTGCTAATCGGAGGTGCGGGAGGAAGGACAACAAACTAAACACAAAAAGCAGCTCTTAAAGAAATTATATTTTAGCCGACTAAAAGGTATGCTTATGTTGAGAGCTGGCAGAGTAGGCGTAATGAAGTACACTGAAAGTGACTTGTATGGCCACCTTTGCGGGGCAGGGAAAGATGCAAACAAGGAACTTGAAAGGGAATTGTATAGTGGGGTCTGAACTCATTGAGCACCACGGTGGGTAATGTTTTTTTTTTATCGCAGGACGCTGGAGGAGGCAGTTGGTGCATCCCGGTGCCATTCATACAGCAAAGCGAGAAGTGCACCGTGTGGCCGGCACCGCGTGACCGGCACCGCGTGGCCGGCAGCGCGTGGCCGGCACCGTGTGGCACCACAGACACTCATTACACACAAAGTGCTGGTTGCCACAAATGAAGCAATTTTTTTGTTGTTAAACCGCAAAAACTTGCTGATCTCGTAAAAGAGCATCAACCATCACACATCTCCGGTCATCCTCACTCCGGCGGCTTTCGGCTCACCATCGAACAAAGACGGTCACTGCATCGCGCGCGTTCAGATGCGCTTCTGTGGCCGTCTGGAACGCTCTCCCTTCCGATATTAGGAAGCCACAGGCACAATGCACTTTTAAATCATCGAGATCGAAAACACATTTCTTTAGAACTGCTTTTTTGTGTTCAGTTTGTTGTCCCTTCCCCCGCACCTCCGATTGGCGCGGTCGGCTACGTACGGTGAGAAATAAGTTTAACGTACAGACACGCGGATGCGTTTGCGCCACAGTATCGTTATTTCAAGCGCATCAAGCCAGTGTGTACCCTTGTAAAAAAAAAAATTCCCCAACGGTCAGCTCTAAGCAAGTAAAACATTTCTTTGTTGCCCGGCATGCTGCCTAAGTTTGATCGTGTAACGTCACGCGGTGGGCGCAGGGCTTTACTTAGTCTAAATAAAGATTCTGATGCTCGTGGGAAATTCGTTATCGATTCCGCGGAAGGTCGCGGATGAAAGCGGTGAAGAGGTTCGAGTGTAAATTTCCATGAAGGAATGAAATTGTCGCTCTCGGCGAAAAGATGCAAAAAAAACTGTCGCACAAAACAAGATTTTGTGTAAGTCGGAAGCACGTCCCTACACAAGAGAAAGTATCGCCTTTAACAGACTGTTGGGGCAAGTGCTGTTAGCGAGCACCTATGAAGGCCGGCAAAGCACACGAGGGGGGGTTTGGGTGGCCAGCACCACGCCCGACAGCCTTTGTCTCCCGAGTGGCAATGTTTACACACCGCACCGGGTACTAAATTGAGGCTGAGTCTACCTAGGGGAGGCCCAGGATCGATTCAGACAATCGTCACCGGTGTTGGACATGAGCGAGAATCGAACTCGGGAGGCCGGGTTCGTAGCATAGGGCAGCGCGCTTACCGCTGCTCCACCGCTCCCCATACACAAACACACGCGCGCATGACTGGCCTGAGACTCTTGCGCCCCCTGCTGATACATGCGCAAAGTTTCCACCGATCGTTCAACAGCAACCATCAGTCGAAACCCAGGCACCACGGGCCTGTGTGAAGTGGGGTTGCTGCGATATCGCCTCATAATTGTACTGTAGGCTGTTGGTGCCATGCTGTCATTGTGATGCTGTTGTTAAAATGCGGTAAGGTGTGATGCTACTGCTGTGACCGCCGGTGCGACCGCCGGTGCCACGCCGCTGCGTCGAGACCGTTGTTGTGACTTTGCAGGTGTGACGCTGCTGGTGTGACGCGAACGGTGCGACACCATTGCCTGCGATGCCACCGCTGTGACCGCCGGTGCCACGCCGCTGTCGTGACGCCATTGTGGCGAGACCGTTGTTGTGACTGTGCAGGTGTGACGCTGCTTGTGTGACGCGACCAGTGCGACACCATTGCCTGTGATGCTACCGTTGCGACCGTCGGTGCAAGACCGTTGGCGCGACGCCGTTGCGACGCTGCCGGTGTTACACTGCCGGTGTGATGTAATGGTCGCGATGCCGTTGCTGTGACGCTACTGTCGTGACCGTTGGCGCAACGCCGCTGTCGCGACGCCATTGCGGCGCCATTGCAGCAAGGCTGTTGTTGTGACTTTGCAGGTGCGACGCCGCCGGTGCGATGCTGGTCGTCGCGACGCCATCGCCCGCGAAGCGGCCTCACCTCATGGCCCGCGTAGCGGATGTCACGCGAGTAGAGCACGGCGCACCACTCGCACGGCAGCTCGGGGTCCACGGCGCGCACCAGCCGCTCCAGCTTGGCCAGGTGCTGCGCCTGGAACTGGTACGCCAGCGTCAGGTGCAGCTGCCTCTTGTGTGGCTCCACTTTCACGTCTGCGGCTCACCAACCCATCCACGAAAGACAAAGATCCCCCCCGTGTGGCCTTAACAGACTGTTAGGGCAAGTGCTGTTCGCGAGTAGCACCTTTGAAGGCCGGTAAAGTACACGAGGGAGTCGGTGGCCAACACCACGCCCGGCCGCCTTTGTCTCCCCAGTGGCGATGGTTTTTACACACCGCACCAGGTATTCATGAGGCTGAGTCGACCTAAGGGAGGCCCAGCACCAGTTCAGATAATCGTCACCGGTATCGGCCGTGAGCGGGAATCGAACTCGCGTCGCTGGGTTCATAGCGCAGTGCGCTAACCGCTACACTACCCACCCACCGCACGTACACGACGTGGGTGACCGCCTGTCTTTTGTCAACTCGATGCTCCTCGTGCAACGAGCAGCAGCAGCAACAAGAACAATGAAAATGCCAAAAATCTGTGAAAGTGTGGCAGATACCAGTGGTTTTGTGGCGACTTCGGTGACAAAGAATCGACATTTATAATCATCAAGTCGATGCATCGTTCCACCCCCTAGCGACATACGAATGAGCGACGGAATAAGTGGCGAGATAAACGAGCGACAAAAGCAACAGCAGCATTGGCGGGATCGGTGATGCGCCGCAGATACCGGTGGTTTTGGCGACTTCGGCAGCAAAGAATCGATATTTATAATCATCAAGTCGATGCATTGTTACACCCCCTAGCGACGTACAAACGAGCGACGCAATGAGCAATCAGATGAATGAGATGACGACGACAATGACAACAACAACAGCGGGATCCGTGACGCTTCGCGGCTACCGGCGGTTTTAGCGACTTCCGCGGCGAATTCGGCAGCGAACTCCCGCAGGATTTCGGCGTCGCCATCCTGCACGAAGAGACCCAGGAAGTTGGGGGTCGAGAAATGCTCCAGCCGCAGGGGCGTCGGAAAGCGGGGCCGCCACGTCTCCACCACGCCTTTGAGGCCCCGGTACAGGCCCTCGGCGTTCTCGTCCTCGCACTGTCGACCGCCACCACCGTGACGCGCCAAGACGGGGGTGGGGGGGGGGGTAGGGAAGAGAGCACAGAGAAAAATACACACGGGGACAAGAGGTCAAGTGTCAGGGGTGGCTGAGTGCGGTGCAAAGAGGTTGGGTGGGGGGGGAGGTGGTGGGAGGAGGAGTGAGGAAGTGGTCATGGCAAGAGTGGGTTCATCCGGTCAGAATCAGTTTTCTTCTTCGTTTGGCCGATGTTGATGTAAGCATGCACGCTGAACTTCTTTTGCACCGTACGTAGCCAACTGTACTAATAGGAGGTGCTGGGGAAAGCCAACCGTCTATGCACAAAAAGCAGTTCTAAAGAGGTGAGTTTTCAATCTAGATTTAAAAGTGCGTAGTGGCTTCCTAATGTCAGAAGGAAGAGTATTCCAGACAGCCGCAGAACCGCATCTGAAAGCGCGCGATGCAAGTAACCGTCTTTGTTCGATGATTAGCCAAAATACGCTGCTGCGAGGATGACCGGAGTTTTACGTGATGATGGTTTATGCTCCTTAACGAAAGGAAACAAATGTAGAGCAACAACTATTAATTTTACTTGGAGGTGGTTGAGCCAGAAAATTGCATCAGGAGTGACGGAAATACCATAATCGTCGCAGAGGATTGGCAGCCTTCACGCGGCCCGCTCTGTTAAGTGGGAAATCACAACTGATTGAGCGACGTCATCAACCCGACGGTTGAACACCGCTCAACGATCTCCGGGTTTCCAGGCAAACGGCTCGAGGAGCGGTGGGTGGGGGGGAGGGCAGGGTGTGGTGCAGAGGCACAGGGAGCATCTGAGAGGATGGTGAGAAAGAACAAGGAGCGGGATGGAATTATCAGAAGAGCCACAGGTAACAAGTTTCAATTTTTATAGCAACGAGTAGTGAGACATTTCCGTTGACTTATTTATACGCTGGCTCCAAAATAGCCACGTTTGGTTAGGTCAGTGCGTCCGTTTACCATCCTTGGCCTTGATCTACATAAACAAAGATCCGTTTCCATTTGTTGGAAATTTGAACCTTACGGCGGTACCCTGGGGTACCATAGTACCCCGGCTCTCGCATAATGTCCATGATGCAGTCATTTTTAGTCTGTTGATGGTCGGCGATGTGGCAATCGACTCATCTCGACGAGCTGTACACGATGCACCACCACCACGGTGCGTACCGCGAGCGTTCAGGGTTTCGGCACAATCGTCCTCGCTGCTTTTCGACATTGCGGAGTAGCACTGATTTCGGACTGATTGGTACCCCAGTCGTGGAGTTAAGTACACCCCTGGAAAAAATAGTGTCCCAAAAATAAAATATTTAATTGCCTCGGCCAATTTGTATTATTTGGTACCCCGTGGTACCGCCATAAGGATCATTTGTCGATTAACTTCCTATCAAGAGAAATGTTTTTTGTTCTTCAGGATAACAGTGATCACAACAATGTTGTTTTCCCAGAAAGGCCTAACGGAGTATCCATTACTCACTTTAACGGCGAGGTCCTACAATGGATGTTTGGTGCAGTTTCTTTCAGCATATTAACAACAAGAATCTCACCGCGTTCATCATTAGCGCTGCCTTATTACAGAAACCCATAATAGGCTGACATTTTGGGAAATGGCCTTTCTTTAGTCTCTTGCTGCGTGACGGTGATGAATGGGGTAATTTTTTTCTCTCTCTCCCCATGTGTGCTTATGTGCCCACTGCCAAAACAGTCCGTATTTTTTTTCAATTCAGTCTTTTTTTTGTGTGAGAGGTAAATGTGAGTGCCTGGAGAAGGCCCAAACTATTCAAGAGAAGCAGGCCGGCCCCCAGCCCACCCCACCCCCCGGAGAGGTTCCTGGCGGCCCAGAGCTAAATTCCATTTGCCCCCCCCCCCTTTGTATTATAGACAACAAAAATACTCTGTATGTGAATCCTGGGCCACATTTCCCCATTTTCTCACCACTCCTCTGGGTGGCGCCAAATAGAAACACTCACTGTACAGACTGATCCCATACATATTTACTGCAAAGACACGGACAAAGATTCCACCCCCACCCACCCGTATAGCCTGTAACAGACTGTTGGGGCAAGTGCTGTCAGCGAGCTCCTGTGAAGGCCGGCACGTAGCAAGAGGGGGTACGCTACCTCCCAAAGACGCACAGTGCAGAAGGGTGTCTCGCACCCACCGCTTGATTTCTCACGGAATATTTTCTGCGTCACCAGTAAGACACGGGCCCCGGGCACGTGACTAGCAGCCGCAGCCATAGCGAGAAGATATTGTGGATGTGGTGTGCCGGGTGCGGAAATATTTTTTGGCTCACTGGCCCAGACAGACCCGGCTGAAATTAAACCCTGCTCTCCTGAGTATGCACCAGCATGCAGGCCTCTATCACCATTTAATCTTCAATTCTCTGTCCGTTAGTCATTCTACAAAGCACAGCACCACCACCTCTCAGCACCACCAATACCTCTCACCACCACTGCGTCTTACCATCTCCTTTCACCACCACTGCCTTCTCAGTATCACCACCGTCTCTGAGCACCACCACCGCCTCTAACCATGATGATTATAACACACAGCTGAGTATAGATGCTTTCACAGGCGTCAGGTAACAGTGATGAACTATGAAATGACGCGTGACCTTTGTAAAAAAAAACACGACAAGGTGGTTTCATGAACAGGAAAGCACTCGAGTCACAGTCGGGGAGCGATTCACCTGATAATCCCCCGCCTCACATTCTTCGCGTCAGATGGATGCGCTTTAGCCAAACCCACGATTGCTTCTGTTGCCCTATGACCCGACAAGGCTCCAGGTTTGTATGGGTTTTTTTATTTTGCGAAGATGAGGCGCAGGCAGCCAAGGCGAATCACTCCCAACGCAACGACCGATTGGGCGAGATGTTGACTACCTCGCCTGGTATACAGGTGGCCGTGGGCTCGATCCCGACCCTGATGCTGTATATTTGGAGTGTGCATGTTCTCCCTCCCCGTGTTTGTGAGAATTTTTGCCCGGGTCCTCCGGTTTTCACCTCCATTTCAGCATCAACATGCGTTTAGAGTATTGGGCTGGAAGAAATTTCCACACGATGAGCCACTTTGTTGAGCTATCATTTGCGATAGCCAGGTCGCTCCTGAAAACGAGCTACTTAACTCAGCGGGGCCTTACCTGGTAAAATAAAAACGACTTGTTTGGGTTTTTTTTTTTATATAATTTTGACGGTGGCGGCCGGTTTTTCGGGGGCCCGTGCTCACCGTGAAGAACTGGCAGAGCGTGACGTGCGGGAAGACGTTGTGCGCCTTGTTCTTCCCGCACTGGGCGCGAGACGCGTCCCAGAAGTCGGAGAGGCGCTGCGCCAACCGCCCCGTGGGGCACAGGTAGAGCACGTACTCTCGTGGGAGCGGGTCGTCCAGGAAGGGGTCCGACAGGTGCGAAAAGAGCCTGTGCAGTGGACGCGCACACACAAAGACACAAGATCACCCGCACAGCCTTCGACAGACCCTTCGGGGCAAGCGCTGTCAAGCGAGTAGCGCTGCTGGACGGTGCGTGGAAGGGGTGGGTGGCCAGCGCCACGCCCGGCCACCTTTGTCTCCCCAGTGGCGATGATTACACGCTGCGTCAGGTACTCATTTGAGGCCGAGTTGTCGCCGGGTTTGTAACGCAGCGCACTTACCGCTAGACTTCCCACAGCCAGTCACATCAGGAGTGGAACACCCCAGGTTCGATCTCACTACTGACTTTCCGAAATAAACTTCCGACTTCTGCTTAACAGACTTGAACGAACTTGAGGGCGCCACGGTGGCGAGATGTTAACTACCTCGCCTGGTATACAGGAAGTCGTGGGTTCGATTCTGACCCTGAAGCGAGTATATTTTGGAGTTTGCATGTTCTCCCCATGGATTTTTCACCGGGTCCTCCAGATTTTCCCTCCACATTTGTGATGGCCAGGTCGCTTAGTTTAGTAAGCTGTCAGGTCTATTGATGATCCAGCACTCGCCGATTTTCTGCAGTCGCTCGCACGCCGGCAGTCAGTTACTTCCTTAGCACTCTTATTTTGTTACTAGCAGGGTTTAATGTTCCTGTGAACTTCACCCATTTGTAATATCCACCCACGTTAATGGTTTAATCTCATCCGTACAGATTTCAACCGCCATAACCAACACTGCAGGTCACCACGCTTCTTTTGCTGCTTTTCGCCCTTTTGTACTCCTCTATTTTGGATATCACTCCCATTGTCATCAATCCCGAAGCCTTACAACTTTCCTCAATTCAAGGAACACAGACACTCTTTACTCCTTCAGGACATTAACGGTGCCGTTTGTTGGCCGATTGTGCGTTTTTTTGTGGAGCTTTTTGGGCGTGTAACTCGACAAACTGCGGTTACGAAAAAAAAGAACAAAAAAGTCAGTCACTGGATAAGGAGCACAGGTGAGCACATTCAGCAGAACTTCACCGAAACCCAAAGGCTCGGCAGCTAAACCCTTTCCCATTTCGATGACGTACGTGTGTAATGACAGGGTGGCACCTGTCGGCCGGGAGTGGTAATTACGGTCATGGCTGCATTACATAATGCCTTAATGTAAAGGGGGCGTATCTGGGGTAAAGGTAAAAGGCGGAGTCAGTCGAGAAGCTCCGGGAACCAGCTCGAAGGTTCTGGAAAGTGGGCGTGACCAGAGGTGGAGCTTGGCTGCGCCAGGGCGGATATAAAGGGGGACCGGACCAGAGGTTCGGGGCTGTTACGGGTCCTGGGTCCTGGCTGCGTCGCTGCTCTTCGCCATCTATTTGTCTCCGACCACGTGGCTGATTTTCCGGAAGACTCTCTCTGTCGCTGTGCTGGTCGAACAGCTCGCGTAGCGGAGCCGAAGATGGGGCTACGTGTTAGGATCACCTATGTGTAGCTGCGTTACACAATGTCTCGCCCAGTGTGCTCTTAATAAACAAGAAGCCTTCTACTCGGCGATTCTCGGAAGTCGCTCACTACACGTGTATATCATCAGCATTTCTTCCAATTCCATTCCCATTATGTACTCGTACGTACATCATCGGAACGTCAGCGGAATGAAGTAAATGCCACGCGGGAGGGTGTGTGGCACAGTTTGGCGCCTGCTATTCTAGAGTGCGGTCGTGTCTCTCCAGTTCTCTGCGGTGAGTACAATGTCTTTAGAAACAGCGGCGCTACGCCTCTCTAAATAAAATGTACGAAAACCGCTCGGGCGTTCTGAGATTCAGTGGTGAACGGGACCACCCACTCTGCAACTTGCAGATGTCTCGGAATGGGAAAGGGTTAATCCGCTGCCCTTGGCAGAGGTGATAATAATACTGCACTCATAACAGCCAGAACTGTAACCCATCACTGCCTTGCAGCAATTAGATATGGAACAATGTTCCCCTGTGCAAGTCCAGGCTCGAGACTGCCATCTTCTCCTTTGCCTATTGCAGGGTTTACAAAATGCTAATTGAGGAAGCAAAACTGAATTATCATCATCTCCATCTTTTATTCAGTATGCGCCTGGCACTTTCATCAACATCACACAATCGGTCTACCCAGTGCGGATAGACACACAGGGAATAGTTGCGTTTCATGTTTCCGTTGTTTGTTCAGCCAGGTTATGGCCTATAAAAGTTGTCGAGTTATTATTATGGAGAGATGGGGGGTGGTAGGAGAGGGGGTCATAGAGATACAGGGAGATGGGTGGAAGAGGGGAGGTTGGGGGGGGGGGGTATAGAGATGCAATAAAACAAACACAGACCCTTTGATAGAGAACAATACTTTAAGTAACATCACCCTGTACAAAAACACACACGACTTGGCTTGTGTATGAGTAACAATACATTGATGATCAACCGTAGTGATTTTCTATGCATAGTAATTGTTACCGATGGCCAAATGATGTGATTTAAGTGGCAATTGGCGCCGTAACATTCCCAATGGGCTGTTGGGTTTTTTTTGTTTCCCTCTTGAAAACTGCGTATACGGCGCGGTTTTTTTCGTTTATTAATTCAAATATTTGACCTTGGATAATCCCTTGACATGGAACGTATCATTCGCGAGATATGTTCACCGTGTCTAGTGACATGTACACGGGAAGCACACGACACACTACATTTTTGTTTTTAAATTCCAAACAAATTATACCAGTGTGCAACATAAAGGGACGCCTCACAAATATTCAACTGAAGAACTTTCAGAGATACGAACAAACCTGTCCGTATGTCATGTAGATGCCACGTGAAGAACCAGTGGCATCTACATCTATAAGAGATTATACAACTTTTAAAGCCATTCCCCGTGTTTACTGTACATGCCGTACAACGTGTTTGGAATCGACAGGAGTAAAGTGGGACTTAGGAACAAATCGTCTTACGAACAGACCGCTGCAACCTAACTCGGTCGTAAGTAGAGGAGTCCCAGTACTGTAGTAGTAAATAATGTAGTATATCATGTTGTGTAGTAGTGTATAATGTAGTATAGTAGTGTATAATGTATAGTAGTAGTGTACATGCCATACAACATGTTTGGAATCGACAGGAGTAAAGTTTAATTTTACGAACAAATCGATTTACGCACAGACCTCTGGGACCTAACTCGTTCTTAAGTAGAGGAGTCCCTGTATACCATTTATAGATCGTGAAATACAATTTATACGAGGTCAAAAACAGTAAAAGATAAAATGCCGGCTTCTTTCTTCGTGCGAAATATTCTCCGTTCGTTTAAAACTGGCGAGCCAGAGTCCGTGACGTGCGAGATCCACAAACAGAAGGCGTGGGAGGCTCAATTGCCACGGTTGGACTCGTACACGTTATAAAATATAAACGGACTTGACTCGATAATTGATTGAGCGAGTGACTGGCGTGAAGTTCAGCGATCGGTCTGGAAGGGAGAGAAAGTATAAATTTAGAATAAGTTTAGTCGAGTCTAGGGCTTGCTGCGATGAAGTTCTGATTTATTTTTGTTTGGGATGTAAAAGAGTCAGACCCCCCCCCCCCCCAAGCTCTCAATTGCTTTCAGTCTCGAGCTAAACACTTCCAAATATAAGATCTTGACAATCGGTGAACCGGGTAAGTCACCTCCCGTGGCATTTAACACAAAAAATACGAGGTGGATGTAGCCCAATGTAGGTGACGAGTTACAACCATGCTCACCCCGCACCTCCGATTAGCACGGTTGGCTATGTACGGCACGAAAGAAGTTCGTGCATGCAACGCTGGCACGGACGTGGAGCGGATTCACGGGGACAGTGCATCCACAGGAAAACGGATTAACGGGTTAGTGAACGAGAATTGGCGAGAGATGAATGACGTTCACCAGACTGAGTCACTTCACGTGTTAATGACACCCCCCTCCCCCCCCCCCATGCTTTATTTAAGCTCTGAAAATTCTGAGCCCGCATTGTTTTGCTGATGACGACGGCCCGGCATTAATCTATCCCCGGTCCCCTGCTGATCTCATACCGGCAGCATTGCAGACGCTGATGTCATTTGCCAGCGCTTCCGTTTGTTTCATGTCTGCAAATTGCAACCCCCCCCCCCCCTATATTCTATGTATAATAAATAAGTTTCCCTCCGTTCCAGAATTCTGATGTAAAAATAAAAAAAAAACTTTTCAGTCTATCGGCCTCCCCAAACTGATTTCAGCCGCCAGTCAATTTAATTTAAGCAAGCAGACAGCGGTCAAGCTTTGCTAAATAAATACTGATGGGTTTACCAGATGTTATTGCTCAGAACATCTGATATAAATCAGTTTTCTTTTTTTATATACAAATAAAGTGTTGCGGATTTCTTCTGTGAAATACATTTAATACCTTCCCATCCTGTATCCCCATACTCTTTTAGGTTTTCCAGTCATATATTAAATTTCATTTGGAAAGAGCGTTCTTCCCAAATAACATCTGGTAAACCATGCGCACTGTTCAAGCACGCCCGACTCTGCTGACACGCCTCAGATGGTCAAAACGAGTCCAGCATCTGCGTGCTTAAAGTGGCTAACAACAACTCTGGAAGGCCAATGAACGCGCTGAATTGATATTATTTTATATTGCTGTGGAGATTAAAAAAAACGGAATGCAATTTATTATATCATACAAAATAATCCACAAGAGAAAAAAAAATGTTTAATTCACTAAGATTTTTTTTACCTGCAAAAATCTCGTCTTACAACATTTACCTTTTTTCCCTGCAGACCATTTCGATGATTTCCGAGGTACGTTTCAGACACTCGTGGGAATACGTGGGAAGAAGTCATGGCTTCTTTTCCCACCTGGGCGTTGTATATAGACCAGCCAATTAGGACTAAGTTCGCAGCGCACAGAGGCGCCTCTGGTTAAGGAAGCGCTATTGACGAATGTGTGGAATTTTTTTTATTTGCAAGAGCGACCTGGGATGTTGGATGACACAGGTGTGTGAAATTTCCAAATCCAGAGGGCAGTTGGCAGGACAGAGGC